AGCAAATGAGATGGAATTCTTTTTCTTCACTTTCTAAATGTCCTCGCTTTTTCCACTCTTTTTTTCCATTTCTTCAAAACTTTGTGTAGATATGCAATGGAAGCGCATTTGGTGCACTACAATTCGAAATATGGCGATTGTGCGGAGGCACTTAAATACAAGAACGGTCTCGTTGTCATCGCCTTCCTCATTCAAGTCAAGAAAAACGCAAACAATATTCCGTTCTCGAAAATTTCCAACGAAATTCCATATATAATCGACCCAGATACAGAATCATCCATTGATTCAGGTAATTCACAGTCTTTTCATTGATTCCTGTTGCCACTTTTTGAAAGAGAAGACAAAAAATAGCGTTTTTGCAACTGTATTGCTCTTCCGCAAACTTTGTTTGTATGGAAAAGTATTGGTTTTACTAGCAAAAATTTCATGACATCTCCTCTTTCGGACCACTATAACGTCATGCCAAACTTCAAAAAGCACATATCTGTATACTAGGCTATGTAGATGGGAACAAATCCTATCGATCAAGACCTATCTGCCGCCAATAATACGTTGTTTACTATGAAAAATGTGTAAAAATGTGCGTCGTCCGCGTTCGCGTTTTTTGTTCGCCGATTATCTCAAAAAGTTGGCAAGATAATTGAGATCTGTAAAAGCCAAAAGTTTTGGCATGTCGAGACAAAGCTGCGGATTGATTTTGAGCCCATTCTGATTTACCAATTTTGTATCATAAGCCTCCGACTGAGGACCTGAAAAACCTTGAAAAACGACACTTTTGTACGGGAAGTACCCGAAAAAAGCATTTTTCAGGGTTTCGATCAAGGCAAACTGCCATTTTTTTGCAAAAATAATGGGAGTCTGTGAACAACCGAACACCTACTTGCCCATAAATTTAGTCCGAAATCAACATTTCTTGAAATTTTAGAATTTTTTTTCGAAAATGACACTTTTGTATGGAACATGGTCGTAATAGTTATATTTTAAGGTCAAAAATGCTATGAAAAAGGGTACATTGAAATTTTGGTTAAATATTAAGCGGGAGGTAAAATAAATTGCTGCGGAGCGGAAAAGTTTGGATTACCTATGTAATTCGTTTTATTATTGATACACTTCTGTAATGCTCGTTTTCTCAATTTATAATGCTCGTTTTTTGTCAAATTTTGTAAACAAAAAAATAAAAAATTCAGACAATTTCGCTGATGAACACATATCCATTCCAGATTCGTTGCTTTGGATGTCGAAACAAGAGTTGGATAGCAATTATTTCACGTACAAAGGATCATTGACAACGGGAACCTTTGATAAGGTTGTCACATGGATCATATATAAAAAACCAGTGATTGTGTCAAAGCAACAGGTTTGTGAATTAGAAAGAAAACAAATGTTATTTTTTCATTGATGTTTAATCACTCATGTGCATTCTCAAAGGTTGCTGTATTCCGTGAAATGATCGATGCGGAGAATAAAAAGATCACCAACAATTACCGTTCCATTCAAACGCCCGAAAAACCACCAACAGTCATTTTTGTAGGCAAAAAGAATAAACATCAACACGCCAGTGTATTATAAGCATACTCAGCATGCATACGTAGGTTAGCATTTGCGCACAATTATTTATTTATTCAACATCAAAATTGACGAATTTTCAAAGTGTACTTGATTGAAAAATTTCATTGAAAGAAATAAACTATTCAAAAATATGCCCTCAAGTTGATGCTGTCAAAGAAGAATTTTTATAATAAATGATTTCGACTTGTAAATTAAATAATCGGTTGTCGGGAAACAAGCATTTTGATTAAAATGATTAGTTGTTTTTCTCTGAATTGAACTCTCTTTTTTTTTTCCTCGTTATAAAAATTGGTCGAAATTTTCTGCAAACTAACATCAAAATAAAGGCTGATTCATAATTCCATGCATGGAATTGAGTAATGGCCAATGACCATTGTCAGTGTATTTTCGAACAAAAACTCATGGTTTTTAGCTTTTTGGAAAGATATCTAAGGTTTACTATACTACTCAATGAAATAACAACGAAAAAAAAAAGTTCGAAAGGAGAGATAAGAATTAGCCGAAAATATTCGAAGCGAAACTCACCATCCATTGGCTCGGTACATTCTTACGGCAGCATAAGTCTCTGTATAATAAACTGTCTAACGGTCTGTTTTAGCTCATTTAACCGATGTGTTATTTTGCATGGGAATATCGTGTTGATTCATATTTGATTAATTTGTACTTACTATTTTCATTTTCAGAACTCAAATGGAATGAACTAAGATGAGGAAAACATTAGCGTAAATAATGTAATGTGATGCATGTATAATCGATGATCGACACTGATTTTGTTAATTATTATCGATATTGACTTTATATGGCCTTTCAGTTATGACTTAACCATTAATGGTCATTTAGGTTTTGTGTTGCAAACTAGTTCTAAAATATAAAAAACGTATTTATAGGTGTAGAATCTTCAACAAAGTGTTCCATTCTGAGCATTTGCAAAGAATAATTGGTCGATTTATGAGTTTATTCACCATTTATTTTGGTTGAAGCGCATTACGTGTACGTTATTTTTTTTTTGTAACATTCTTTCTAACGTAGCTGCCATATTCTTAAATATTTATTTGACAAATAACATGCATATAACATGCATGTTAAATGTATTTAATTTGTTTTATAGCAATGCAGAGATTGATGTCCTTTCAAACATCTTCGCCCATCGACATAGCTATATAAATTCGAATAAGAGAAGATATTATCGTAGCTCATTAGTTGAACTGAAGGAAAATAATCATTTCGTGTCAATTTCGACAAATTCTCCCTTCAAATTAGTGCTTTTTTCGTGTTTACAGTGGAGACCAAGTTACCAACTTACTCGCAAGGTTAACAAATATCAATACACAAAAGGCTTTAAGGTAAATGCTGTAGCCATTTAATTGACATTTTAAAACCTATAGTCGTTCTGAATCATCATCGATGGGAATTTGTGAGCTATTCAACACATTCTTCAGATCTACATGCAAATGTTCATCAGGCCGTACACTTAACATAACAACAACCGAAAACTCAACCAATATCACGAAAAATGATGTTAAAAACACAATTTCAAAGGTAGGTCAAAATAAGAATGGTGGTACAGATTATTTGTTTCACAACAAATAACCTTTCTCAGTTATTTTAAAAATGAATGACAACATGTTAACGTTATTTCATTTTTAAAAAATGTTACACCAAGTACAGGTTTTTATACAAAATTTGAATATAAAATAGAAGGTCTCTTTAATCCTTGAAATCTTTTTTTACCAAAAAAAAAAACCAGATTAGTAGCCCTTACATTTCATGTAATGCTAAAAAGGAGATGAATCTGATGTTTCCAGTTAGAAAAGAGAGAAACAAGTTTGTATGGCCCATCCCATGGCAATCGTTTTTGAGAAAATTACGAATATTTGTCTTCAATAGTAATAGATCCCCAATTTACACCAAACCAACATGTCAAGAATAAATCGACCAACACAAATTTGTGTTTACTACATATCTATGGGTGAGATTGAGAGTGGAGTATGTTTTTTTCTTCGATTTATATTTTTGAAAAGGCGAGTATGTTTTCTGATGATTCTGTTGGCGTTAAAGTAGAGTATGTTGTAGTACCGTCTAGCCTCCGCGGTCTTCACGCAACTGATAAGAGATAACTACATGGTATCTCCAGCAGAGTTGTAGTACTCGACGTCTTCTATAGCTAAGTTGAAGACAGTTATCTCTTATCTCTTATCAGATTCGCGCAAATCGCGCAATTAAAAAAGCAAAATTTATATAAAACTTTTTTTTCTTAGCATTTTTCGCGCTTTTCGCGAAACTGATAAGAGATAGAGATACACTGTCAAAACTTTTCAATATTTTTGTGTTGGTATTTCTGGTAATATACGGAATTCACGGTAATCCGTGAATTTCATAGTATATTACCAGAAATACCAACACAAAAATGTTGAAAAGTTTTGACAGTGTAACTATCTTCAACTTAGTTATAGAGGACGTCGAGTACTACAACTCTGCCGAAGAGACGAAGTTGTTATCTTTAGTTAGTTATACGAAAACCGCAAAAAACCGCGACGACCCGCCAAAAATGAACATACTCGCTTTTAACCATTTTTAAGTCGAAAGAAACTTACTCTTCTCTTTCATAACAAAGTCAGTGAAACATACACAACTCTCAATCTCACCTATAGATATGTCGGTTATGTGTCGACTACATTGGATGAGGTGCTTGAGTTACATTACGGTACATAGTGTATACTACACACAGACTATACATGCATGCATTCGATTCTGACCATGAAATCCCACTCTCATCCTCTAGCTAGGTTGATGAGACTTTATATGCCTATGGCTAAAATCATATCTCACTAAATGACTTGTCCATGTTATATTCAATGGTCATAACTCTATGCCATTCCAGTCTAGCTCAGGTGTTCCTCAAAGTGCAGTTTACTAGGTTTCCTAATTTTCAACGTAGAAAATATTAGAAAATAAACATCCCCTTTATGCAGATGATCTAAAACAATCTCTGATATGAACCATTATCATATTCTCAAAAGTGAACAATGAACATGTCAGAATCAGAGATTGGTTTGAGATTCGATAAATGTTCTAGGCAAGCTTAGCTTGTGTGCATGCAATATACATGAATACAGATGTTCGTATCAATCAATGCACGGTCCATTTCCCTGTGTTCATGTGCATCGCATGCTAACACGCTATGATTTCCTAGAATATTTATCAAAGCATATTTATATTTTCTAACCAATCACTGATTCCGACAAATGCAGAATTTCACGTTTTTGAATTTTGAGATATTTCAAAAGACGTTTGTCGAATACAATTTGTCATATATTATTTTACGAATATCCTCTGTAAACGCAACACCATCTAGATCTATATAAGAATTAAATATAACCAATAGCGCTGTGTTGCAACGAAAATTCGAAAATAACAGAATCGACAAACGTCTTTTCTATCTCAATTTTGTTACATGAGACATATCACATTTCATTTTAGAAGGACCATGAAAATTGGCCTAAAGGCAAATATGATAAATACGACAGATATGAAAACATCTTGGGCGATGATCATGTAAATTTTCAAAATTATTTCAACTATTTTCAATCGAATCATTTTATTTTTCTCAATTTTAACAATTCTTTCGTTTTCATACTTGAAAAAGGTTCAAACTCCGATCGCAATTGAGTCACGCATTTCCCAGAATTTGAATAAAGTCAAGCCTTTACAATATAGTGGACATTGGGCACAGGATGGACAAGGCTGGATTGAAAACGATGGACACACGGCAAAGGTTACTTTTGAAAATCGTCGAGTGCAACCGCACTTAACTGGTGGTCTTCTAGACGGTCGCTACATTTTTGAACAAATGCATTTCCACTGGGGTGAAAATGACAATTTTGGCGCTGAACATACCATCGACGGAAAATCGTAAGCAAATGAGATGGAATTCTTTTTCTTCACTTTCTAAATGTCCTCGC